TTCTGGTACCCTTGTTGTCCTCTGAAAGTGTTGCTTTTAGTGTAGACATAGTTTTGATCAAATCTGTTGTAGCACCTGTCAGCTGTATGGCCATCATTTTGGCAAATTTGGCATTTAACATAACTCATTCTGCCACCTCTACCTCTGTAGTTATTGCTTCTGCCAGTCCTACCACCTCTAAAGTTCCCTCTACTTTGGTTATATCTCTCTCTGTAGCTTTGGTTAGAGGTAAATCCTCCTCTATTTGATGCCTACTGAGATGCCAGATTTGCAAAGCCCCTAAATCCATCTCCATTCAGTGAGTTGGTTGTGTTCCTTTCAATTCTAGTTTCAAAGGTCAAGAGCAAGGCCTGGGCTTCTCTGAGGGTACAATGAGGGATTCTTGAGTTGACTGAAACAGAAAGCGAGTCATACTCAGGTCCAAGTCCATCAAGCATGGAGGAAATGTGGTCATCCTCAGTGTATGTGTGCCCAACAGCTGCAAGTGCATCATAGCAAGCCTTGATCTTGTTCAGATATTCTCTCATGGTTTGTGCACCCTTCTTAAGATTATGAAGCTGAGATTTAATTTGCATGACCTTGGCTCTAGACTGAGTAGTATAATCCAACTCCAATGAATCCCAGATCTCATGAGAAGTGTTTAACCCAACTGTATTCACAAGAATCTCTTCAGAGAGAGAGCTTAGAAGCCAAGACACCAGCAGTTGGTCTTGCTTTTGCCAGTTGAGATAAAGTGGGTTGAGAGATGTTTGGACTCCATTCTCATCTGCAACAAATTTATCAGGTGGCAGTGATGTGCCTAGGACAAAGCCTTCAAGACCATACCCTTTGACTGTGGCTAAAACCTGGTGTTTCCAAACAAGATAGTTGCTTTCATTGAGTTTTACTGTAATCAATTGTGCTTGGGGTTGAATCACAGATAAGGCCGGCCCAGAGCTCGAGAAATCAGTGCTTTGACTTGCCATTTCAAGTAAGGGAACAGAAAAACCAAACAAGAAGAAGTAAAGCAAATCTGGCTCAAATCTCAAAATAAAAAATGATAAATTATCTTCATGAGCTGCAGAGTCAGGTCACGATCAACCTGCTCTGATACCATAATGGCAAATGTTTACAACCATTGGTGAAGACACACGTTCACAAGATCGATGAAATGACAACACAAGAAACAAAAGCGCAGCAGCTGGGGGAATATGGTATGTTGATTGATTGGAAACCTAGGATGGATACAAAGTCTTTTATACATCAACACAGATAATCATAGCCGTAGATATAAGATCAATGGCTGAGAATAAACTAGCTATATGCCAAACAATTCAAACTGTAAAGAAAATAAAGCAGCTCCACGTCTGCATGAATAAGACATGCAAATAACCTAAAATGGAAAAAGAGTAAAGGAGTAAAACTTGACTTGGTCTACATAATCTTTATATGCTATTAACATTGTATTTACTAACGGAATTATCTGTTGCTAATACAATTTTGAAAGAGTTTGTTGTTATTCCGTTGCTATTTCCTAATGGAAAAAATACGTTGCTAATACAGTATTGAAGGTGTCTGTTGCTATTTGACAACGGAAAAACCGTTGCTAATACAATTTTGAAGGAATTTGTTGCTATTCCGTTGATATTTGCCTACGAAAGAAAATCCCTTGCTATTTACATGTGAATTTTGTTAAGTTTCATGCACAAATGAGAACCATTACCCGCTAGACCAATAAGACAATATGTTAAAAACTTGACTTCAAATATATATATATCTACAATTCAAAAATATTTTATCAAAATAATAAAAATATTTATTTAGTAACCATTATATTATATTATTTATTATAATATAAAATAAAATTTATTATATTTATTGATGAGCGTTTTCGATCAATGGTTAAAGTAATGTTTAATGATGGTGCAAAACCGAAAATAAGGAAGAGACATAGATTAATTTCGATTTAATTAAACGAACGTGAGGTCGGCCTTTCGTACGAGGTCGGCACTTACGATTTACTTATAATTTTTACAAGGTTTTCTTACAATTCTTAGAGAGAGAAAGTAGAAAGAAGGTAGAGTTAGTTGAATTTCAACAACCCCAAAACAAATGAGGTAAGGGGCTATTTATAGTATCATTTAATTCTACTATTTCGGCACTGTTCACTGTCTTATCGCACAGTTCTTCCGCAGCCCTGGCCGGCGCTTTACTGACATATCATTAAATGCAATTTGAAGTTTTTTAATCATTACTGACCAATCATTCAATTCTCACATGGGCAGCATTAAATGCTGTCATCTCCTTTTTGCTGGGCTAGATCCCCCTAAAATCGTAGGCTAGGTCGGCCCGTCCTATCGGCAATCATTACTCATCCACTTGTGCTATAATATTCTTTTGAGCTCGTATCTTTCTCCGAGTTACTCAACTTGTTCATCAGGTCGGCACCTGAATTTCTCGGGACTCCTCGGGGCTCCTCGAACGGTCTTCCCTACTCGGATCCTCATCAGGTCGGCCCTTTATTCGACAAGCGCCAATCTCGATCGACTCTCGGGAGGTCGCTGTAATTATATTTCTTTCTCGTTCAGCTCGGCACTTCTTGTCACTTCGTAACTCGGCCCCCGACCCAGAGTCCGGCTCCACCCGGTTTCCCAGACCGGTCTGATAATTCCCGGCCGGGCTGATCCGGATATCAACAATATTATCTAATTTATAATTTTTATTTAGTAAATTTATTTATTCATTATATTATTTAATATATTTAGTAAATATCTATTTATTTATTATATTAATATATTTATTTACTTGTTTAATATTATTATTTATTATATTATTTAATTAGTTTATTTATTTGGTAACTATTTATTTAAAATACAAATAAAATTTAATTACAATAATTAATATTATTATTTACAATATTGTTAAATATATTTAATATATTATATTATTTAATTAATAAAATAAATATATTTATTCAACTATTTTGGTAAATTATTTTGTTATTTATTATTTACTAATAAATAAATTATTATATGTTTTATTATTGTATATTTGTATTATTATTATTACTGTACATTATTATTATTGTTATTATTTTTACTATCATTAATTTGATAAAAATGATTTTGAATCGTGGATAGATATATATATTTGAAGTCAAGTTTTTAACATATTGTCTTGTTGGTCCAGCGGTTAATGGCTCCCATTTGTGCATGAGAGATGCGGTGTTTGAAACTTTGAATTACCTTGTGTCCATTTTTCTTGATAATTTGCCACTTGCCACCTCAAAAAAAAAAAAAA